TTTTTTTTTTTTTTTTTTTTTTTTTTTTTTTTTTTTTTTTTGATGATTCGGGAATTAAAAATGGGTTAATTGATCTTTTAACAGAATAATCGCCATAGCTTTTAAGGCTGATAGTTACGCTTCATACATAAATATCAAGTTTTATTTGTTTGTGGGAATATTTTTACGAATATATATACATTCGCTTGCTTGCGAGTGTACGGATAACTTATCAGTCATAGGCATGGACTAATATTTGTTTTTGGGATATATCGCTCTTAACTGCTGACATCTGGCATTTTAACTCTGAAATAACTTTCTGTTGTTTGCTGAATGCATGCACCGACTTAATTGTCGACTACGTTTACTGCGAGATCGTAAACAATTTATAGCTAGTCAGAATTGCACTTTCGCACCTTAGAACCTTAAATTAACAATGAAAACATTTTTGAAAATAAAAAAAAAAAAAATCTCAGTTTCTTTTTATCAAATTCAGCCCCTTTGAGATTTGTTAGGTAAGTTAAAATGTTTTTGTTACGTAAGCAATCAGGTTTACAGAAGCTTGGAATTATCCTATAATAAAAGAGGTTTCACAAATTATTTGTCGGTAATCCAGCTTAGAAAATGCCCGCAAAGTTTCATAATTGGAAAAAAAAAATTCTCACTTTTTTTAATAATAACTTTCGACTCTCTATAATGCTCCTACGATAATTCTTCTGGCATCCTAGCTAACTAAGTGACCTATAAAGTTTTAACATAATTACATAAAGTTTTCACATAAGTACATAATTATTTCCAAAGTTTTCAGGATTTAATTGTAGCGATATCTTTATAAAGATAAAATTGTGTATTGTGAATATCTAATGGCTTAGATACATAATCTAAAAGCGATGACATTCAATCTATAAAAGCGATTTTCACATGTTTTATATACATCACTGGATATGTAACCAACAGCGATCACTCAAGTGAACATCAACAAAAGACAAAAAAAAAAAAAAAGCGGACAAACCACAAACAACTTTAACTTTTTCTTGTTTTGAATGTAGGAGCATAATAATAATATGAATTTTGTAGGTAGGTAAGTAAAACCCACACATAAACACACGTTCCATAAAAAAAATATACTTTTACGTATATAAACGACGACAACGATAGGGTTTTTTTCTCTTTATTTTTGTATTAAAAGAAATCTAATCGACAAATGTATTTCATAAAAAAATCTGGGAGTCATTAAACCAGAATGCAAATATTAATGAATAAAGCCAAAAAGAGCAATAGCAAACCATTATAATAAGTATTTTTAAAGTAACAAAATATGTAGAGTGAAAGAAATTTGTCGTTTTTTTTTTTGTTTTTTTTTTTTTTTTTTTTTTCTTTTTATCTCACAACTTACCCAGTGACCATGAAATGATGGCTTATTTTTATTTTTGTTTCTACGCAACTTCTCGTAAAGGATTAAAATTTTATGGGGGAGCAAGGAATTGAATGACAAATGTCAATTTCTTTTCTCGTTTTCACTATTTCTACTTCGCACCAATGCTCAGCTGCTGTTGTGTCAGAATGTTGCTTGCAGTTTTACAAACGCAATGTAAAGACAAAAAGACTGTAACAGCAACAAAAGCCACGTACACACACATGTGCATGTAAATGTTTTCTTTTTCACTATTCTGTTTTCAATGACGTTTCACGTGCTCATGTATATGCTGTACGTGGAAATTATACCCAATAGGAATTTGGTTAATTTACATGGATTTGTGAAACTAATTGAAAATATTCATAGCATTTTAGCTTTTTTTTTTTGTTCATCACAAGATTGAACATTAACTTCCTTTTGAACTTTTTTACTTATGCTATTTTTCTAAATTATCTATCAGCCAGCGAAACTACCTTCACAGAATGTCGCATCAAAACAAAACAGATAACAATTTTCTCAATCTAACTGCATAATATCTTTTGTTCTCTTCTATTTCATTTAAACTGACGTTTGTCTTTCTTTATGCTTTATCTTATTGGGTTTTTTTTTTATAATTTTTTTTTTTAATAAACAAACTTGTCTGACTGTTAACGAAGAAAGAGAAGGCAATTTATTTAAGATTGTTGGTTTTTGCTCTCGATATTATTTACATTTTTTGTTCACTATTTGAAGTGGAATTCTGGCAAAATCGATGAAATTTGTTTGTTATAGCAATTATTTTATTGTTCACTTTCGTTTTCATCGTTTTTTAACTATAAAAAAAATATAAATAAATCGCTCTCTTCGCCGACATTGAATACTTTAAGCACAATATTATTAATAGTTTTTTTTACATTTACGTATATTATTTCGACAAGAAATTCGCACAATTCCACATCCTTATTGTTCAAAGAGCAATCCAACCGCAACTAACCGTCGTACGTAAAAGTATCTACTTTTCTCCCCAATATTATATATATTTACGTATATTATCCCACACAAGTCCCTATCGTTCAAAGAGAAAATTTCACACATCCGCGCACATGGTATCCGTTTCAGTTGATTTTTATATATGCAACAACAAAATATACACGGTTACTTTTATAGCAACAAAACTCACAATTTTTTCTTACCTTTTATATAAGCTAATTTCACTCTCTGAAAAGAATTTTATTCTCAACAGAATTTATTTGGGCCTGCATAAGAAATGTATAGCAAAGTCAATTTTACTCTCAAAATAGCATTTTATTCTCGGCAAATTCAAAAAGTCATTCGGAGGTTTCCATTTTTTTCTTTTTTTGTAAACAAATTGTTGTTGTCGCGAAGCTGAGACTGCTGAGACTAAAGCCAGCAACAGCTAGTAGATTTCGTATTGTATTTACAGTTTTTTGACGAACCTAACAACACGAGTGTTAGACAATTCTCGATTTGTGCTTAAACTTGTTTTCTCTCTGACTTTGCTGAGAATAAAATTCTATTCCTGAGAGTAAAATTTACTCTGGTGTGAGTTCTTATGAGACTCGTTGTTGACTTTTCTGAGATTAAAATTTACTTTCCTGAACATTTAAAGTAATGTTTCTCTCTTTAATTCTTTTTCCCTCTACCAGCCATAAGTAAAAAAAAAATTTCAATAACATAGCGAGCAATAGCACAGTGGTGCCAAGTAATCAGAGGAATCTCTTCTCTAAACAAACAAATAAAGCCTGAAGAAGAAATTTAGAAAAATTCTTTCGTGTTTTCTACTTCAACTTTGTGCTGTGGATCATATTTCGTTTGTATTCCACATAGCAAACAGTGTTGCATGCAGTAAGTACAAATTACTTTGATTGGTTTATTTATTCAATAAGTGCAAGACTACTTCGTCTACTAAACCAAAACTTGGCATTATTTATGTAGAATTTAAAAAATTGATTTCTTTTATTGTTATTTTCCACGCTAACATCGTTGCTACTGCGCGTAGCAATTGCTTGGATTTCTGATTGCGTGTGACGATTGCAAGTCATTGTTGTTGTATAATGGTGTTTATTTTTGAGAGAGGATTGCGAGGGTTGTCCAAATTTGTTGTTGGATAGAACGATTAGCTAAATTTTTTTTTTTTGTACTGTAATTTTGTTTACTTTTGAGAGGAGATTGCGCAGATTGGCGAGATATGTGGTTGCGTATAACGATAACGATTGCTGCGATTATCGCGACGATTGTACAACGATTGTTGTTACTGAAGAACTGCATATAACTTTGTCACTTCAAAGTTGTGACGATGCGATCCTAAAAATCAAGTAATATAAATCCTAATTAAAATATAAAACAATTTATTGGATATTTTAATCCATTTTATTTCTGAGAAGAATATTTCTAATACCCTTGATGTGGAGAAATGAGAATAAATATTTCCAATATTTACATTCTAACAAGTGGTCGCATAAGCTTTATCACATTCGGAGCGGTCATGTCACATAGTAACATGTATAGAAAAGGTGCTCTTTGAAAAATTATAAAATAAGAGGATAAAGAAATTAACAATAAAACCCTAGCAACGTCTGAAACATCTGATTGTAATTCTAATAACTGATCTAGCTAAAAATAAACTTCGTTATTCCTCTATTATCAACTATTTATTCGTATGCCATATTGTTGTTATCTTTCTCATAGAAGTCTTTAAAAAAGTCTATTTCTCTCTATTTAGAGCATTTAGTTCGGCTTGCGTTAAAGAAGTGTACTTAAGCCTGGGAATAGGCGAATAGGGTATTTAAATGTCATCCTATAGCCTAGGAAAAAGAAAACGTGTGATAACTTTGTCAACGGGCAAGTTCAATATAAAGCATTTCTTCAAAAGAGAATATTTGTATAATCTCATGTATAGAGGCCATGAAAAAAATCAATTTAACACAAAGAAAATGTAAGCGTATCAGTCTGTTACCCTAACTGGCATATTGTCGAACTTTCTTTTATTCTCTGTCTTGCCTTCTTCGGAACTTAAGAGTTTATTTTGAACTATTTTACAGATTCATCCACTGGTAACTTAAGAGCTTTTCGCAGTGAAATTTGAAATCTATAGTTTACTTACATTATATGTATTATCTGTTAACCGTAATGCTCTATATAATATCGTTCACCTTCAAAACATTACTCACTATGTTATAATTTACCTTAATTTGCGCATTTTTATCCGTTAATTGTACCCTAAATCACTTATGGCACAGAACATATTAAATCTGGACGAATATATGTAATACCCAGAAAAACTAAAGTCAATCTTCCCTTTTATTCAGAATCATCCCCCAATTCGATTCAAGCTAACCTGCCTCATACGTCTGACATCTGCCCAGGTCAATTCTTTTTAATCTCTAGGTTGCAAGCGTGTGAGATATTTTGACGAAATCTGCTACACACACATCTTTTGATCAAGGAGCACATATTCCTCAAAATGGATTGAATTGAACCAATTTTGCGATCAATCTCAATATAAGTCATTTATTGTATTGAAAGCAATTTTCAAATTGATATGAAAACTTTGCATCGGATGGGTCAAATTTTTTGAGCTTCTGCTCATATCATGCTCTCACGAAAATTACACTTTCATATAGCAAATAGGTTTGATTTTTAATAGATATAAAAATTAATTGTTGGAATTTTAGGGCCCACCCTCATATAAGCGCTTTCATAAAAAAAGTAAATCTAAAGGCGTGGCAAGAACTATGATCTTTGTTACTTTTATGACAAAAATAGGTCAAGAATAATAAAACCTTTGATAAGAAAATTAAATTCGCTATAGTTGAGGTCGGCTAGTTTAGGTTTCGAGCCCGCAACTAAATCATTATCATATTCGATCTAATGTCTGTTGTCAAACAACATGTTATAATTTGTACCGGACAGTGTTTAGTGGTCGACCTTACTGAATCGTAACGGATTTGTTAGTTTTCAAAGAGGTCTATACAAACCATCGATGCATAGAAGAGTTTTATGAGAACGTCGCCGCACGCAAGCATGATAACAAATTCTTGTTTTTTGTGACACTGCTAATTTGAGTTATGCTTTTCCTCTTTTTCTGTTTTCATTCTACATAGTAGTATTACGAACGGAAGTAAACTATGGCAATAGTTAAAAAAATCTCTTTATTGTATTATATATAAAAGTAAAAATTCGTATGATATTAATTGGCGCCTGTAAATGGAACGTTATCACTATCATCATTCAGTTTTCAGTCAGATGTGTTAGGTACACAAGATTCGCTTAAGAATTACTATAACTTTCTGAATCTGATTCTGTTTTGAATCTAAAACAGAGATTATTCTCATCGCCTTTTTATATATATTTTATAGTCATCACCATATTTCTTACTATGTTTTTAATGAACGTACAAAACTCTTCAGTCTCATCTTAAGTCAATAAGAAAGAGAATAATTCTAATTTATTTACGACAAATCCTTTGCTTTATTATGATTGCAACTAAGTTTGATTAGCTTGCAGTTTGAGCTTTAAAGCGAGAGCAAACTCTTTTAGTTAACAATAAATAACAGCAGTAGTTACTTTGTCATATGTTACGTCTGTTACGTTTAGCATAGTAAAATGATATAGTTAGTTATGTGTATTAAATCATTTGTAGGTTTATTTGTGTAAATGTACATAAATATTGTACGTAGATGATATCATATTTGTATGCAATTGTATGTATATTCTAGCGTGTATACAGAAATATTCATAGGTAAATATAAAAATGAAGAGATGAATTTTGGTGCATTGCAGTGCTTTATTGTAAAATGTATATAAATTCAAATTAAATCCTTCATATGTAATGATTGGCCGTTGATGCAACTATCAGATCTCTACATTAATCATTTTGCATTTTATGTACTTAGAAGCATCATTTAATAAACGAAATGTAAAATAGCACAGTTTAACTCGATATTGGCTGATAATGGCTAAAATGAAAGGTGAAGTGAATCTACAAACTTGATTACATAGCATGTATGCATGAATATATAGAGAAATCAGTCTATTATACGCTACTATATCACTACATATAGTACATGGAGTACATTAAGCTTGTGTAACACTTAGAAGGACCTTGAAATAGTTCCAGCTTTTATTATACCGATCGGTGATGTCTCTCGTCTAAAATTTTATTCCTAACCTATAACCTACAGGTTTCAAATTTTTAAGATATTTTTTTGACGCAATTTTGTACAGTGGCATATGTAACTTTTCAAAATTTCGTATGCAACGTACCGTCGATTTTTGATCATTTTCTTTGTGTTATGTTGGTACACATGTCCCCAACATATTCTAACATTATCGGGCAGTTTGCATATATAATTTATTTTTGACAGAAATAAAAGTTAGACGTATTTTGGCCGGCTTGATGATTCTTTGCTATCGAAAAAAGTGCGGATCAAAGGATCTGTATTAAATTTTCTATGAAAAATAAAATTAAGTTATCCAGCTAACTTAAAATGTTGACTCTGGCTCTTGACGAGTCAACGTTGAGCAAAAAAAATGGCTTGTAGGTGGTGCAAGCTCTTTACAGAAGGCCAAGATGATGTAAATGACAATGTCCACCTTGGACGCACCAATACGTGAAGAAGATTTTTATGGAAAATCGTCGAGTAGCTATTAGAGGAGTTGCTAAGGATGCCGGCATATCGGTTGAACATTTTTTCGTATGTTTTGCATATGAAACATGTGTAATATTGCGCCACGACAATGCTCCAGTTGACACATCATTACTTATTCGTAATTTTTTGGACAAAAACCGCATCGTAATCATGTTTCAACTATCGCATTCACCGGATTTGACCCGCTGCAACTTTTTCCTGTCTCCAAAATTGAGAAGACCCTTCAAAGGACGCACTTTGGCGACGCTTAAAGAGATAAGGATCGCGTCGCTGAAAGAGCTGAAGACCATATCAGAAGGCGCATATCAGAAGTGCTTCGAGGATTGGAAAAAGCAGTGACACAAATGTATTATAAATGAAATGAATAAAGTGTATGTTATTAAACGAAAAGATAAGCATAAGGTATTTAATGGTCCGCCGTCAATGATCATATATAATGTTTTTGCTTACTTTTGTTTACAACATTTAATCATACAAACTGTGAAAAGTTGC